AAGAAAAAGGACAAAGTTCTTCAGCAGAGAAGATGTTTCCGCACCCCATTCTTCCTCTTGGGACCACTTGGGCCTTCAGGATAGCAGCTTGTCCTCTGCCAGCTCTCGAGCCTCTGTTTTATTTTTGATCTCTTTAACAAGGGTGCTTTTTTTTTTTTTTTGCATGATAGGCAAACTCAGAAAAAGATCTTGCTACCACGGATGCACACTTGCTCCAGGTGTGCCACTCGGTCATTTCTGTCCATGACTGAGATGTTGGCCATCTGGCACTTCATGCTGTCCTTGGCTTCGGGGTGAGCTTCCCCCATATCCTCACAGGTGTTCATCTGGCATGTTTCTTTGTGGCCCTCAGCTTCGTACAAGACTTTAATTGGCACGCCAATAGACCTGGCAGGAATAGCACTCAACGGCTGATTCCTCCCCATCAGTTTAGGCACAAATACTAACACAGCGAAGGCCTGAAGCAAAGAAATGCAGGCCGGGTGTTTCCAGACTACCAGGCTTTCCCAAAATGCACCTGGCCCTCTTTTTCCTCCCCTCTCCCCTCCCACTCCCAGTGAGCTCAGTGTTGCTTATGCTTTCTCCTTACTCTGCCAGCTTGGAAATGAGGGTTCTGGTACTAGTTCCAGCATTGGAGAAGACTGGTGAGGGGTCTGTTTGTCCATAGAGCAAGGTGGTGGGACACTTCCAAAGCACCCCACATTGAGCGTGGACTCGAGTGATCAAGACTGCGCCCTCTGCTCTCTGAGGGCGGCAGGGAGCAGAAGTGAGGCTTGAATTTAGACTTTCTTCACAATTTAAATTTTGGATCTAGGTATTGCTAAGTAATGGATGCTCTGGACATACTGCAGCATCATACTAATTGTATAGATGACCCCTAAAAGGGAGTCAGGAAAGGATTCCCAGGAGCCTAGATGAGGCAGTGAGAATGACCAGAGCTAATACCTGAGATTGCAAAGTAGCAGGCTTGATGGAGTCTAAGTGTTAAGTTGTTTGTTTTTGAGATAGGATCTCACTGTATAAACCATGCTGAACTGGAACTCATGAGAATCCTTCCACCTCAACCTCCTAAATTCTAGGATTACAAGCATGGGCTACCATCCAGGTATAAATATACGTTTAAACAGTGAACTCCATTGTACCAGTGCATTGTACCCTGAGCTATCAATAGTGTAAGAAGGTAACAAAAATTTATTTCACCTTTTTCTCATCATTTTAACATTTGTGCTTTCTAATAAAAATGTGGTACATCTACTAAATAGAGTTCTCCTCAGCAGCAAGAAAAGATGAAATTATGAAATTGGTAGGTAAGTGGATGGAGCTAGAGAGTGTTATATACTAAGTGAAGTAACATGAACACAGAAAAGCAAACGACCTATGTTCTACCTCATTTGTGAGCCATAGCACCAATCCCTTATATGTGAGTATATAAATCCTTATATAACACCAGGAGCCAGGTAGATGGAAAGGATACATGGAGGTAAAGGAAAAGAAACAACCTGAAAGGGAGATAGTAGGGAACAGGTGTTACCTGTGGGAGATGGAAAAAGTGGAAGGAGAGGAGGGAGGGACATGCAAGGGACTATGGGGTGGGAGAGAGAGGGAAGTCAGGACAGGAAAGATGGCAAGAGTCGGGAGTATTAGGGGGAGGGTGGGGATAATCTAGGCACCCTGACTAGGGAGGGAGGGAGGAGGGAAGCTGAATGGGAGAAAAAGAGTAGAGATGAGTGAATCTCAGGGGCTAAGAAACCTAGAGGCAAAAGTGATGCCCTAGAAACTCTAAGAGAAATGTACATAGAGTGTCTGAGCATTAATGCATATGTATACCTGGAAGCTGCTTGGCAACGAATACGGTGCCAGACAGAAGAGAACTCCCTTGGAGTGACAAGCATACCTAGTACAGCACTCATCAAAAAAGCTTCTTTTTGCAACAGATGGAGGCTACTGCAGAACTTCACATCTAGTCAGGCACAGAGAACATACGTCTGGGAGATGTCCAGTACTAGGTGACATATCTGCAATCAAATCTCTACAACTAAGGCTCACAGAACATAGCGGAATAAGGGGTAGAGAGAGGGCTCATGCACCCATCAACTCTCACCAGTGAGGCTTCCACGTATATCAGAGTGTGATGCACACAGAGGCCTCAACTGGCCAAGTTTTGGAGAATAAGAGACTGTAGAGTGTAGAATGGGACTCCTATATGGAACCTCACCCACCCATGGCTCAGGGACCACTGCAGAAGAGGAGGCAGAAACATTGTAAGAGCCAGGGCTGGCTCATGAACACAGGGAGGTGGAGGCTTCCAGGCTACTAGGCTTGCTCATGTGAGCCTATGGCAAAGGTGGCATCTAGCACAGGACCCATGTCAGCTCAATTAAACAAGGGCCCAAAGGGGAGGTAAGAAATAGGTTGCAGGCCAGCACTAGACTGAGAAATATTTGAGACTGATTGCTGCTGGGTGAGGGAGAGTATGACTTACATAGGACCCCTGGATGGACTGACTAGATTCCAGTGGATGCATTTACACTGACAGACATTTGCTTACAAACAATTGAATGAATAAGACTCAGCATCAACGGCAGAGTGCCTAGGGTTTGGTGGGTGGATAGGGGGAGGAATGGATGGGGGAGGGGGTCTGGATTTGAGTGGGAAATTATGAAATTTAAAAAGCTCAATAAAAAAATACAGTACAGTCATACGTATATCATTGATTTTAAAAATAATTTATGAACAAGTATTCATTGCCTAGTCCATGCATAACCATGTCTCATTGCTAGGTGTGCCCTATAAAAACGATTTGGAGGCTCCTTGATTGATCGTCACTGGCTCCACAAAGCAGTCACTATACCTTCCTTCAAAATTGTTCATCATTGCTGTCAATTTCTAAAGAAAATGGAGACAAATTCTTCCAGAAGAATTTGGAGTGTTCTTTTCCTTTAACCCCTGAGTTAGCTACCCAGGTACCACAGCTCGTTTCTCCTTCCAGTTAGGGTTCTGACATCCCTTAAAACATGGCACTAATTATGGGAATTTAATAGCGTAAGCATAATGATAATAGAGCTGCGTTTCTACTAACATAGAAGAGACCAGGAAACAAGGGGGTAAAGCTCTCCCTAACATACCAGAGAGAATAAAGGCAGGAATGAAGTAAAGAAATCCTCTACAGCAAATCCAATCACAGATTGTGATGGGAAAACAGAGTGAAAGATACTGTATAATAAAAGGCATTTTACAATAGACAGAAGTGTTGTGATCTGTGGGTGAATAGAGATTGCACATATCTAGCCTGTTGTTACATCATATTATTGGAAATGTGTTAACATAATGTGGTGAATAATTGTAAAACAAACTCCACTACAATGTAGCAGTCTTATCCATTCATCTCTGTTGTATTCACGGCTGGAATATGAAGAATGAATCACATTATACATGCATGGTTTTCATCTTACCCCTCGGTTACTCTTTAATCACATAACAATTGTCTTGTTAATGAATCTGAAAGCTATTAACATTGGCTTCCCTTAGGCCAGGACTGTGTTTGTGGATGTATGGCTTTGTCCTTCTCTGGGGAGACACCTGGTTCCTATTACACAGTTCTCCGGGGTAAGCTCTATCTCGTTGATAAAAAATGCAAAACCTTCCATTTTATCAATCTGAAAGTTCCAGATCCAAGCCAGCTTTACATTGTCTTTTACATTTATTGACAATAACTTTGTTCAGAGGAAATTAAAAGTGATTCCTGATACAATAAATTTTAAATTAGATTTTCTCATTCATTCCCTGTAATTGTGAACTCTACAACCCTGGGGTGATTTTTAACCTAAATCTCATTGTACCCTAAAAGTCCTCTGTGTCCTGAGATAAGTGAACCAGGCAGTAATTCTCATTTAGGTGAATTGAAAACCAACAAAATTGAAATACTTTGCTATTCTTCTAAAGAATATATGAAAATGCTATTTGGATTCCTATCTTAATATATCAAGGACTAAAGCTGCCAACTCTGTTATTGCAGACTGTGAGTCAATTGAGCTCTGTGTTTGCAGGCCTGCATTATCTCTATGGTGGTTACTGCTTTTATCTAAACAGAGCAACAAGACCCCTGACCTTTCCTATCAATACAATCCTCAGAGTCTCAAAGGCAAGAGACATTAAGAATACATACCTTCTTTCTTTTACATAGTGAAAATGATCCTAAACTCTAAAATATCCACTAATGATGTTTTAGGAGTCTCTGTATTTTTAGAAAGACTTAAGACTTATCAAAAATATAGGTACTAGCCTACTGATTTTTATAGGAAACTAGCAATGAGTTAATAATGAATTACATACAATTTACCTGTCCTAACAATTCCATCCCTTTATTTATGTATTTGAATTGTATTTTCCCATAAAACAAAAATGTACATGTAACAATAAATAAGTCTAGAATCTGTTTTTCATTAAAATATGGGTAATTTAGATTCCATCACAATTTTACAGACTAAACTGATGAAACTGGCTACTGATCGGAGTTTGAAAATGAATAATGCAACCCTTCCTTCTTTATTCTGCACAAAAAACTACCTTGCTGTGGAAGAAGGCTTGCATAAGTACATTTGTCACATAGCCATGCCCCTGTGCATTAGAAAAATGAAGTCTGGGTGTATAGCCACAGGGTACAGTAGCTCAGATTTTCTGTTCACTGGGTGCAATGCAAATAGGTAACAGAACTAAGAATTGATACACAACTCATAGGTTCAGTCTATGCGATTTCTAATACTTGACAATAAGGTTTAAAAGTTTCAATGTGTGTAAGTGAAAGGAAACCATTTTTCAGTGATTCCTAAGATTCTTGGGGTCTATTGTGAGTACTGTTTGTTTAACCTTATGTCTCTTAGGGGCAAAACAATGGCAATCTGACTACAGTCATGGCAAACAAACAGGTTGTGGATCTCTATAAGATCAACATGGAAATGCAGAAGATTGAGAGCAAATGATGCCACAGCACTCTAACATACTTGTAGTAACAGATTTCAGAGCCTGTCCGTATCCAAGCAGGTCTACCGAGAAGAGCCTCCTTCACAGAATAGAGGGTCGGCTGCATCCCTGCACAAAATAAAAGCAAGTCTTAATCCACAAGAAAAAAGAGCAAAAGCAAGAACATTATAGTTGGCTGAATTATGATCCCCCACAAAGAAATCCACCTCTTAATCCCTCAAAGCTGTAAATGTTAACTATATATGGCCAAAGAGACTTTGTAGATGTAATTAATTTTAGGATACTGAGCTGGGGTGATTATCCCCGTGGGCCTTAAATGTAATCACAAATGTCCTTATCACAGGAGGCAAAGGGAGGTTTGACTAAAAAGAAGTGATATGACCAGAAAGAGATTATAGATGTTGTGTTACTGGTGTTACTGGCTTTGAAGATATAGAAAGGCTCCATGAGCCAAGGAATACAGACAACACAGTTCTAGAATCTGAAAAAGATTCTCCCCTAAAATCTCCAAAAGGAACACAGCCCTGAACACACTTGACTTTATGCCAGTGACACCAATTTTACCTTCTGAACATCACCATGCTGGTGACAACTGGTTAAGGTAGCCATGTGAAATGAACTCAAGAGTCAAGGCTCATCTTTTTTCTTCCTATAGCCATGAGAGTCTATTCTAGGCAGTATGAAATAGAGGCAGTGCCCTGTGCTAGAATCTAGGCACATGGGAACAGTTCTTCATTCAATATCACCCAGTATATTATGATCCCAGCCAGCAAACGCCAAGTGGATTGCAGGTATCCAAGAGAATATAAACATTTTCCAGAGTTTTCTGAGAGTATAAAAGCAGTGTTCAGGTGTCCTACCTTGCAACAACAGGCCAATACATTTACTCCTGTGATATTTAGAAAATGGAGAGCAGACGTAAGAGCACTTACCAGACTCAAAAGTTCAGGGCGTCATGCACCTCAGAACATACTAGAATATTATGTGCACTACTGGCATTCCATGGCAGAGTGATGATCTCCTACCTCCTTCCCAAAATAGCACTGTGCCCTTGGCCACTGCCTTGCCACACTACTGACTGAAGCACATCAGTCTACCCTCAAACCTTCTGGAACTCCAAAAGAGGATTCTGATAATAATATAAACAGCTAAGAAGCAACTGGCATATTCAGAAAGCTCCCTGATCCCCCAGGAGCTCATACCATAGTTGAACTGGCTGTTGACCTTCTCACAGTTGATGATGTTGAAGCGGTAAGGGACAGCAGCCTTCATGCCGCTCACCTTGAAGTAGAACCACTGCTGGTGCTGGGAGCTGTTCACATCAGCATTGAGCAGCAAGTCATACTCAAACCTGCAGAGTCAGAAGCAAGATCGAAAGACTGAGGTGCTCTTCTAAAAAGGGGAACAGTTTTACCCTAATCTGTGCATACTCTACCATCCCTGACCCCTGATGAAAGACATTGTTTAGGGAAATTTCTGGAGAAGCAAAGATCGGTACAAGACATAAGAGCAGAGCAGAGCTAACTGATAGAGTCCTACTCCTACACCTCACACCGTGGGTGTCAGGGTCATACTAATGAGCTCCTTGCAGTGAGTGAAGCTACTCCACTGGGTAGTCAGAGGGGTCCTGTGGACAGTTCTAGAAAGTCTACGACCCTTAAATTACCTACTGTTCCCACGGTGCTCAATCCAAATGTGGTTATAAAAAGTCCTTACTAGGAAGTTTGTGTTCTGCCATTTGACTCTGCTGCCCTGACTGCAACTGATTCATTCAGGAATCTACTCTCTAGTCAAAAGTAAATGTAGAGAGAAAGAGGCTTGAGCCAGGTCAGCAGCTTAGGTACATTGTAGACTGAAACCTGTCTGCCTAGAAGTATTACCTCCTGGATCTTTTGAACATGTCTTTAGAGAGAAGAAATGATGAAAACAGGAGGTAATGAGGTGATTCTCTTTAGAAACCCATCCATGCCCACACTTTGGTATGTAAAACTGAATTGATCAATCTCTCTCTCTCTCTCTTTCTCTCTTTCCCTTTCTTCCTCCCTTCTTCCCTCCATCCCTCTCTCCCTCCTTCATGTTTAAATCTATACTAAAATCTTTTCTTAATCAGCCCAAACTTTGCTATGAGAAAACAGAAACAGAAAAAAACAGAAGCCACTGGACGAAGTAGAAGCTGAACTGTTAACAGAAAGAGAAGGGAACTGAAAAGAAATCTTGACCAATTGTCTTTTCCTTATTAGCCCAAGTAGCTCAACTTGACTCTCTCTTATGCGTTGGGCTTTATTGAAATATTTAATGTATAAAAACAGAAAAGATTATATGTCATTCTCCCAAAAAAGATAAACTGGAAAAAAAAAAAAGACATATTGGTCTGAGCTATACTAAGTTCTGAGCTCAAGTCATAGTAAACGTGTCTGTGAATAGGGGGTGTTGAGTTGATGCTCACTATATGCCAGGCACTATTCTAAGAGTTTACTTGTATTATTTAACTTTGATAAAACACCTAACAGAGTAGATATCATTGCTGTTCCCACATCACAGTTCAGAAAATGAAGGCAAGGAGTGAGGTAGGCAACTCAGCCAAAGTCTTCTGGTTGGAAAGTGGCAAAAGTGGTAGTTTGATTCCAACATATGTGGCCACTACACATTAACTGTCATGGACTGTGTGATTCTTCAGAAGTTCACCCATAGAAGGATTACATAACTTGACATTTGGTATATAGGAAATCTAGTCCATTCCTCTATGTTACAATTACATATATGTCAAGAGAACATGAAAAATGATTATTCACTACCACAGAGAAAGGATCATCTCCTTCCTTTTAGTTTTATGCATCCCTAGTCTGTCCTTGCCTGTGGAATCATTTTCTATTAATAAAATCTCATTGATAGATTTTTGTCAGAAAAGCATAGCCATGGCCCCGAAATGAAGGATGGAGAGACCAAGATGGCCATTTCCTAAGTACAGCCCTGTGGGATGTGAAGGGAGCGTACTCCACTGGGTGGTCAGAGGGGTCCAGGAGAGGTACAAGAATAGAGAATATCATGTACCCTTCTATGTCAACAGGTCCAGCCTTGGCATCAATGGAAGCAATAAACATCCAGGAGAGGGGCATCTCACACTGAAATATGGAGCCATTATTTGGAACATAAGGCATATTTATGCATGTAGTAAACATTTCACCTTGCTATGGCATCAGCCAATAGTTCCCTTATGGTATGCTGATAAATATCTGACAAATGACTCTTAGAGAGGAAAACTTTATTGTTTTAAAATCTTTCTTTTCTATGTGCTAATTATTTGAGAATGTCCTACAAGGTATTTTTGTCATATTCATGCCCCCAGCTCCTCCCAGATCCACCCCCTCTTTCCTGTTCACCTAACTTCATGTGCTCATTTTTTAAGACCCATCAAGATCAAATTTGTGCTCTTTGCTTTTTGTCACAGCATGTACAAGACCTGCATAAGCCCAAGTCAGACAAAATCCCAGCACAGAGGGGGAAGTGAATGCCAAGTCTCACCCCTATTGATGAGTTATTGACAATTCATAGCTGCTGGATGATGGACAGTTTTCTTTATGAGTATGGCCCCTGGCAAGTAGACCAAGCTCCAGTGGATGGCCCCCACATCAAAGTCGTATATGAAAGGAAAACTTTTGCCAACTTTCTTGATTAAGATACTCTCACAATGGCTGATTTCAAGCTACAGTATAAGGTCACTGAGTAGATAACTCAGCACCGACCCTCACGTGGAACCAGGATCCATGTCTGCTTCTCCTTACTTACTCACGCACTTGGATGGCTTTGCGAAGATTTCCTGATTCAAACTTGGAGCAGAACGTCAAGCAATTGGAATCAGTGTCTTGCATGGGCCTAATAATAAAATAGAGAATGTGCAAATGTGTCATCTTGCTGTGCTTGGGATTTCTTAAAAGATAAGATTTCTCTTACAGCATTTTAGCCAGAACAGTCACCATGCTGTTTTTAGAAGTAGGAGTAGATTGCCAACATGGAACATTCCCTCTTGCATGCCACTAGCAGAATTATCCATACCTCCCATTCAGTGGAAGTTCAAGACCACCTACCAAGGCTCATCTAAGCTGAAGACAACTTTATTTATAACATCACTTGGCTGGAGGAGCCTTCGGACATCCTCAAGTATCTTGATCCTTGAAAAGAAAATTGGAAACAATGTAAGTGCTGGCCCTCACTCTTTACCTCACTCATCATAAGGTCTCCTCAGAGGGTCTTGGAAGTCATTAGAGAATACAGAAGAGATAAGCTTAACAGCCCTCAATCTTGGAGTGCAGACAGCACTGCCCTCTTTCATTTTCCTCTTTATTAAAACATAAAACTATGCAGAGGAGTAGGAATAGAGAAAGCAAAGATGATAGATTCTAGTTAAGGGATTCTTAGCTTGAAGAAACTTGTCAAGAGAATTTGAGTTAGGGTCCTACAACCTTTCTGGCTGTATGAATAAGAGATCCCTTGCACCAAGAGATCTGTGAGGGAGACATTAGCACTATTGACTGTGCATCCTTGAGGCTTGGGCAGCTCCAGTAAGTCTTTGTACTTTTTATTCATTCTGTACATTTATACATCATATTCCTTAGGTTCTATCTGTTCCGGCAGGCTGAGGTCAGCCTTCTGTGTAAGGGGTACAAAGTATCTAGGAGATTTAAACAAGAGAGAGGAGAAAAGTTGAGGAGGGATTTCAATTCCCTCCTCACATTTCCAGTCCATTTCTTTGACGTAGGGTAGGAGAATGTTGACACTGAGCCAAATATGAAGCCCTTGCTGAGAAGGAAGGGGCACAGATTCTTTGCAGGGGTAAGGTGGGGCCAGACCACCCCTAACAGGGTGTTATGTTCTTAGGAACATAAGCATGACAGTTAACGTTGAGGGAATGAGCTCAGAGAGGTCAGCCAAGAATCAAAGTAGGAACAGTTCGTGGGACCTACTATCAAAAGAATGATTTGTTGAAGACATGAAATATAAATTAATGAAAGATTATGGTCTTCATATTTTGTTCCACTGCCTTAGGATATGCATACCCATTTTCCTCAGGAGAAATATGTTTTCCTTCACTTTATCAGATTTCATTTTAATCTCACTCTGCTGAGCCAAAGACAATGCTATCTTTCTGACATTCTGGGAATAATCTATCACTCCAGGTTCTGCCCTGGAGAATATGTGAGGGTTTTTTTTTCAGTCTGTTTCTCAGTCATACAGAAAAACCATTCTCAAAATTTGGAGCTATGAAATAGAAGTACAGTAACTCTTCTCTATTAGCAAGAAATCAAATACCAACTTACAGCATATAAGAAATTCTAAATAATCAATTCCTTATTTTTATGAGAATCTACCTTTTAGGAAATATTCCAGGTTTTGGTGACACTAGATAATGTCCTCTGCTGTCATGGCTTACCTCAGACAGGATTCAAAAATTTGCATTATAGTCATTCAAGGAATCCTTTGTCAGGAAATACATGCTTACCACTAGCCATACATAGATTTCAAATGCCCTAGTTTTGGAGGCAAGATTATATGTTTGTAAGTTTCCCAAAGGCCTTAAAATACTCTGGACAAATACTTCCTACGATAGCAGATGATCTCTACAAACTATTCCACCTATAAAAATATTAAAGGAGAGAACAGATCCCAAGTCAGTAACTCTCACCTCTGTATTCCACATTTGCGATCCAGCATGGGCTGAGGGGTAGAAGGTGGACAGTGTCCCCAGAAATCAGGAAATGCCATCGCTTTGAAACCCACAGCAGATCTGGTTCTCCTAGCATTGGCCATATAAAGACCAGGATCATGGAAAGGGATGTGCTTGGGGTGTGTATGCAAAAGCTTCTCTACTATGTCATTGGTTTCTTTCGGTTTAGTAGAGTTGGGAAAGGAGGCATTTATTCTTGGGCAAGAAATTGTTTCTATGTCCCAAGCATCCTCTTCTAGGAAAGTCTGAATGTCAAGGGTATCATTTCCAAAAGAATCTGTCCCCAAACCATTTTGCTTGCCACTTTGGTATGCGTTCATTCCAGGTCTTGTTTTAGAGGATCTCTGTACAGTGGCTTTCCCTGTCTTCACCATGCTCAGAATGGAAGTGTGGACTGTATCTTCTCTTTCTTTTCCCCAGGAACTTTGGTCTGGGTTGAAGCAATGTTGTCGCTGCCGTGGGAAAGCAGCACTTGGAATGAGCTCATGATTGGCGTGCTGAGTATCTTCGAAGTTCAGATCATCTCCATATTTTGGGTCCAGTTCCTTGAAGTTCAAAGTAGAAATAAGTTTATAATGTTTCCTTCCAGATAGAAAATGCAATCTGATCCCTGTGCTAGTTGTCTGAACCCAGAGCTAGGTATAACCCCCATAATATGGGAGATTTTCCCACAGTCAGCTAAAGAAAAACTAAACTTTAAGTGTCAAATAAATGCCAGAATCACAAAAAAAAAAAAAATCATGTTTGGAAGGAGATCTGGGTAGGTCTAGTACAAGTCTACACAGTACATAAACTCCTTTTTCAAGCCCCCATTCAGTTACAATCTGGCTGAACTTCATTTACAAGGGACTCACTGATAGCCGCAGGAAAACCTTTTACTGTGCCCCTGGCAGTGCCTTTGATTTGAGGACAATTGTGATTATTTTTTAAGACTTCTTTACACGGAACTGAAATTTCCTTCTCTGAAACTTTGTCCACTGATCTTCTTTTGCTTTCTAGACTGAAATAGGATACATCAACTTCTTTCTACATGTGCCTGGCTCTCCCCTTTGATGTGGCCATACTCCTAATTCATTAAGAGCCATGAGAAAATAATGGAGATCAAAAGGCAGGTCTTAATGTCAGCAACAGCAGCAGCAGCAGCACCTACATACTGGATTAGCACCACCAGGTCTAAGATATGCAGTTTGCCTTTCCACGCAGACAGTCTGGAATCAGGATGACTACCTTGAACAATCCATCTATGATGGCCTTCCCAATTTGGCAAAAGAACACTTCAATAATCCAGAATTTTCATTTGCTTCTCTCATGGGTAAGGGCATATGTCCACCAGGCCATGAGTAGTTCAGTATACTTTTATGCTAATTCTGTCCTAGGGACAGAGTGTCAGACCTTTGGGCCCTTGCATACATCCCAGCTGTACCATCTTTTTGTCCTCTTGCTTGCTCTCGGAAGGATCGCAAGAACACATTGGTAATGATCAACAATGTGTTCCATCTGGACACCTCTGTTTGGGTTCCTAGGTTCTGTAAAACCTGCCGTGTATCACCAGGGAGCAGACCACAGCCTGTGCCTACCTCAAAGCTGTAGGAGAGCTCAGGACACACCGCCTCATATTGCATCAGTTCCTCTTCAGCTCGGTCAAGACCAGGCTTAGAACACAGCTTATTTACATCAGTTTCTAAGTCATCATCCTAGAACGGAATAGTCCAAGAACAAGTCACAGTCAAGAAATCTACCTCACCAAGGCATCAAGGCAAAATAAAGATGTGCTTCTTTATGATCTTATGTGAGTTCATTACACTCAGATTATTATACTAGCCCAGCGAGTAAAGAATTTAACTTACTAGACTGTACTTTTAAACTGAAAAGAATGAAGATATAAAACTTTTCTTGATGTGTATGTTAGTATTTACCAGCCTTCATCAGAAATAAAAACAAGATAAACCATGTAAGTAATAAAACATACTATAAGAGATACTCTCTGTTGCATTCACTGATAACAACATAATTATTCTTATCATTCCTATTCACCTATCTACCTTTGCTGTTTGAGAGCTTCATCTGCACAAATGTTTAATGAGCACCTGCTATAAGCAAGTGTCTTTCTAGGTACTGAAGAGTCAAAGATAAAGGATCAAGAGTCCATGGTCCTGTGGAAACAATGTTTATTAGTGAGAGAAATGAGACAGAAATAAGGCAAAGATGAGAATACAGCCATTTACAACAGTGATAATGACCTGGAAACAATGGAGGAGGGTGATGGGCTAGGGACTGAGGCTGGAGTGTGGGAAGCTGCTGAGTCTGAGGGACCCAAGAAAGTCTCACAGAAGAGGCCACTGTGATAAAATAAAGATCCACAGGACCCAAAGGGCCACAAGTAAAGAAAACAATTCTCGCTGAAGGAACAGTTTGAATTTGCTCACAGAAAGGAGGCAGGGCAGAAGCATGTGTACAAGGGGAAGAGCAGAGCAGATGGAGAGTGAAAGATGGAGAGTGAGAGGCAGTTGAGGAAGAGCAGACGGAGAGTGGGAGGCAGTTGAGTAGTGCCAAGGATGCAAGCAGTTCCAGGGGACTGCTGCAGTGCCTGGGTCTCTGTACAGTTAAAAGGTTATGAGTATTCTCCATCTTCTCTCCATTGAGTAAATCATCTGATTAATTTCATTTTTTATCATTCTATAATAGCTTAAAGATGATGCTGACTCCTCTGAACACGTGTGCTTTCCAAGGGTTGTGGAATCTTACAGAGAAACTATAGCCAGGAACAAACGGCCCAAATTCTCTCTTTCTATATCCTAGATCAAATTTCCTTAATAAAACGGCGGAGAAATACCTACCATGTGTTTTAGAAGCATATTTGGTAAGCTAAGGAAAACCTGCAGTCCCAAAGGCCTAGTCAAATAAATGTGGAAAATAAATGCTTAAATTTCTAAAGCAGAGGAAGAAGAAAATACAATGTCCCATCCATCTTACATAATTTTCCTCCAAACTCCAAATCAAAAGAAAAGTAAATCCCATGAGTTTGAGTTGATGATATTTTCAGGCACCATACACATCAGTCCCAAACTCCATAGCCACCACTCATGTCTTTTCCAGATCTGTCTGTCAGTTCTGTTCCTCTCTGGACACAACCCAGAGTGGTCCCAACAAGAATACAGCATGGTCAACCACTGGAAATATTGTCTCCACCAGGTAGTAAAGTTGTGCTCCAACTGGTATGCCTTGGGTGAGGAGTATCATGTAAGTCAGCAGTGGTAGCCTACCTAGTTCATTCCATGTGTGTCTACTGACCCACGCACCTTAGAGCAGAAGCTGGCAAACTGTGGCTTGTCTTCCTAAATAAGGCTTTATTAGGACACAGTGTGGCTACTGACCTATGCACCTTAGAGCAGAAGCTGGCAAACTGTGGCTTGTCTTCCTAAACAAGGCTTTATTAGGACACAGTCACACCCACTATTTTTTGTCTTGTCATTGGCTAAATTGTTGGTAAAACAGCAAAGTAGATTTGCTGGGGCACGAATTGTTTCTGCTCTTCAAAGACCTGAAACTGGCTCCATGGGTAAAGATACTTTCTGAACAAGCATAAGGACCTAAGTTTGGATTCCAGCATCCACATAAAAAGCTGCTGTGGTCATGCATGCCTACAATCAGTACTGCGGGGTGCAGAGACAGGAGGATCACTGTGGCTCACTGGATGCCAGCCTAGTTCCAAGTACAGTGAAGGACCCTGTCCCTCACGATGGAGTGATACAACAGGATATCTAACGTTCTCCTCTAGTCTCCACAGCACACACAGCCGCACATACCAGCATACACATATCTGCATGTGTATATAGCAGAAACGTGCAAAGAGAGGGACTGAGACAGAAAGATAGAGAAAGAGAAACCAAGACAGCGACCTGGTACTTGGACTTTGTATTTCTAGGACCAACTACATTCTCACTACTTTTCGTAGTTCTTATATTTATACTCATCTGGGAATGGGCCTGCTATTGTGTCCTCATGGCATCCAGGATATCAGTTTCCCCTCATCTAGATAATGCCTTCTGACCCTTGTTCCTTAGACTGGGCCTCTTGGGAACTGTCTCTTCCCTGTCTCCGATTTGCTTGTTCAAGTCAGAAAGTCCTGATTGGACTTTATCCTCAAGTTCACTAGACTGTGAACTCTTCGTCATATAACCACCCCTAAGAACTTAGCCTAACACCTGTGGATCATACCTAAGGAAGCACCTGAACAAAAAATTCAAACAGGAAGAAAAGAAAAATGGAAGGGAAGGCATGAGTGCAGTTTTTTGTTTCTTATCTCTCCAGAGTTTGCCGAAACCTAATGTGTACATAAGGATAACAACCAACATCTTACCTCTGTTTGTTCTCATTTCCTGTGTTGACCTTGACAGTTTCTAATCAAATCAGTATACCCAACACTCAACTCCCAAGACATTCCACACATAGATTTCCTTTTAAATCTTCAAAAGAATTTTTCAAATGAGAAATGCCACAAGTAAAGACCTGTGTTAGTCCTGTCAGTAGAAAAGAAACAGGCCTGACTCCTTATCCACATCTTGGGCAGCAAATGTTAGAGTTCACCAAGGAATAAGTAGTTGTTGAAAGACCAGATCCCCTATACTTGCTGTGCCCCAGAATCAAGTTTAATTTTGATTCTACCCCATTGTTCCACACCTCAGACTCATGCTGACTCTCATCATCTCCTCAGCAATAGGCTTTGATGAATAGTTTCCCAGCCCTCACCAATTTATCTGCGCTTCTTTCCCAGCTGGGTTTTCATATTTGCTTAGTTTCCACACCATCTTGCCCCACTGTCCTCTTCAGACTGGAGATGGGGAGGTATCAGAACTCCCTCCCTCCCTAGCTAGCTCTGTGGAATCAGGCACTGCTGTACCATGTTCCCTTGCATCAGATACAAGAGGCAACTGACAGTGAATCAGACATTTAGTTATCAAAGTGCAAGAAAGAGGGGAGTTGAAGGTGGCATTGATGAATGGCTCCAGCAGTGTGGTATGATTCAAATGATTCTACATGTACTTCATAGGCCTGTGCTGCCAAGCCACAGCAAAGAGCCAATTCGCTACTGATCACTTCAGAAATGATTCTATTTATCAACAAAACCCTGGAAACATCAGACTGTCAATAGCAGTCTAAGCCCAGAGATGGGGATGAGCGATAGATCCTAGATGTCCACCACTACCATCAGAAAGGTCAAAGACTACTCTGATAGAAAACTCAAAAGCCTCTTTCTCTCCAGGGAATGAGGTAGGGAGAGAGGCCAGGAGAAAGAAAGGGAAGGAGGGAGAGAGAAAAGATGAAATAAGGAGAGATGAAGGGATAGGGTTTATTTTTATTTTTATTACATTTTCTCTCACTGTCGTGCACGTGCGCACGCATGTGTGTGTGTGTGTGTGTGTGTGTGTGTGTGTGTGTGTGTGTGTGTGTGTGTTTGCATGCATAAATACATGAATGCACAAAGATCAGAGGACAATTTGTGGGAGCTGGTTTTCCCTTTGTACTGTGTGGGTCCCAGGGATTAAATTTAAGTCACTAGGCTATGTGTATGAGTGTTTGCCTGCATGTACATCAAGTGCACCCATGTCATGCAATGCCTTCGGAGGCCAGAAGAGAGCATTGGCTCCTCTAGAACAGGAGTTGAAGAAGCTTGTTAACTGTTATGTAGATGCTGGGAACTGAACCCAGTCTTCTGCAAGAACAGCAAGTTCTCTTAACCACTGAGCCATCTCTTCAGTTCCAGCTAGGATAGCTCTTCAATTTGGGTTTTATCCCCAGGAAAGTCTTAAAAGGTAAGATTTACTTCTGGATCTTACTCTACAGATGACAAAATCAAGGAACTATAACTCAAAGAAACATCCAAATCCACATACAGCAAGATAAATACAGACAGAATTACAACTCATTGACAAACTATCATATTTCTAGGAGAGTGACTGTCAACTAGGAAGGATTTAGCAATTCCTTGACATATTTTTAGTTCATGTCTGAGGAGCAAAGGAGATGGATGTTACTGGTATCCTGGTGTCTAATGAGTAACCATCAGAGATGTTGCCAAGAGTCCCATAATACACAGGAATGCTCCCTCAAACAAGAAGTACCCAGTCACTATACAAACATTGCTAAAGTTTGGAACACCAATAGCAGAAAATGAGTCAATAAACTATGACCTTTACTGGAAAATGGCTATACCCATTCATTCACACATTGTAGATGTCTGCTTTTGTGGCTACAGTGGCAACTTGAGTGGTTGTAACAAAGAATATATGGTTCGCAGAGCCTAAAATAATTATTATCAGCTTTTATAGAAAGCTTGTAGACCTCTCTTTCAGAGGCTATTGCAGGGTAAGGAACAAAGAACACCACTTCTCTTTTGGACAGACTACATACTTTGCAACTAAAGGAAGAATTATTCATATGGTATAAATGGGAATGCATGGGGCTGCAGCCCTGTGCAGAATACCAAATGATAAGAAAACTGACTTACGAAGGCAGGTGAGATCAAGTAGACAGTTTTTTTTCTTAAAAGTCTTTCTATGCACACAAACCCTAAGCAGTATCTATGTTAGGTTCATCTTAACAAGATATTTGTATCTTCATAATCAATAGTTCTGATTTTGCAAGGAGAAAATGTACTAGACCTACAAAGACGAAAATGAAAGCTGGGTGATCAATAACTATAGCTGTCATTTCCAAACATTGCTATCATTGGAGTGTTAGTACTAAAGTAAGTTCTGGGCTTCAGTAAACATAGGAAGAAATATTTTCTTTTGCACAGTGTCAATATGGAAATGATTACAAGCAGGAGCCAGTATACCTACGTCTTTCACATCTTCCAAATCTGAATCTTTGTCCACCTCTTCGTCACCATCATCTTCAAAATACTCTGGGTGGGAAAAGGCAGGTGAATGAATGAGGATGCTCATTGTCTGAAATTTAAACCCTCATCACATAGTGGTTTATACTTCTTACGAATAAAGGACCCATCATTAAGCAAGTGCATAGTAGGCCAACACATTCAGATGCACATTGGTATGTGTAAGTGCTATGTACATAGGATAGGATGCCATGACACCTAAACTGCTATCCCACACATAATGCAAAATGAAGAGCAAAAAAGGATAAATATATACCACTCAAGTGTTTCTCCTATTCAGTTTCGAAGTACTGATCCAACTACCATTGTCAAAGTTTAGAGGCCATATATACACTAAATTCATTTTAACTTAGGTTTCGCCTTGATTAAGTCCTTAATTTTTAAGTGACAGAACTTATTCACGCAGTGAATTCAGAAAGTATTCGGTGCCATGTAGTAACATTCCAACCATGGAAAATCTGTTCCATGGAAGGAAGCTGGGTTTAAAATGCACTAGAATCTTCTGACCTTAAGATCTTCCTAGAGACTGAATCATGTTTTCAGATATTCTAATATGTGCAGCATGGGGTTTTAAATAATGAAAGTTTCATTTCAGTTTTGGCCATAGGGCAAATCATTTCTACTGCTATCCAGAACAGTAAAGAGACTGGGTCACAGAATTGTAGGGAGACTTTTTTTTTCTTAATTAGTCAAAATGACTGTACAGGCATTCAGTAGCTGGCAGGCAAAGTGGCAATTGTTAATAATTAGGAACAAAATAAGTAATCTTGATGCTTGTTCACCCTGTTTATGAAAAGGAACAACTCTCTCATACATGTCTCTAATAAGCTAATTAGAAGATCTTGGATGACCATCAAACAACTGCTTCTACTCTTATCCCCATTCCTCTGACATGTTGTGAAACACAAACACTCATATTATCTTAAAGTTTACAGATGCCTACTTATGTTACCTTCAGTAAGAGCATATGGAGGTGCCAAGTTGATGTTCCCAGAGGCTGGAAATGTATAGGCACTGCTGGTTGTGACCAGAGGAAGTGGACTCTCAGGGTAGCATTGCCTGAGGATCTGAAACACGGCAGAGATGACAGGTTCCATGCTCTTGTTGTCCAGGTGGTTCTGAGCAGAGGAAATATTATAGCAGCTCCTTATTGAAACATTGCTTCAGATCATGAAATACATACAGTCTACATGGACAGTAAACAGTCTTACTATAGAATGTTGAGTTTGAACATTCTATGGAGAATTGACTCTATTTAGAATTTTCATTTTTTCTTCTATTTTGTTGATCATATGGTATTTGAATAAATTCGGTCTGAAAAGAGGTTTGAACTTATTCCAAGGGATGCTGCACCTGATACAAGACTCTCTCTGGGACAGCTGGGGAAAGAAAATTGGTACCTTCCTTCAGCCACCCCTGAGTCACTGTGAATTATTGCCTAAGTTAGGGAACGAGTGCCTGAATGGACAAAAGTCTTGCTTTTCCCTTCAGCTATTATCTGAAGAGACAGATATAAAGGATAAAAGATAAAATAAGAAATCAAAAGGAGAGTATACGTGAATTCCATGTGCCTAAATTAGCACACTTGTCTCAAAGCGCACACTGTTGATCCCTCATGGTACATGCCCAAAGCAAAGAGAAATTGGGTTTGCAGATGTAACACTTTGATAGTGATAGAACATGACAAGACCCTTCTTTTCAGACACTATGAAAAATGTAAGAACAAGTTTACTAAATTGAGAAAGAGTTGGGTATAGGTTGGTAACTCTTTGGCAAAAACACATTTTCTCCAGCATCTTAGAAAATGTTTTGTGTATTGAACTTGATATCAAAATGTGTCCAGGGTGAAACTCAGTCTGAGACTGCAGAACATTCTGATGCCAAGAAGTCCTAACGGTAGATATGGTGAGTTGCTGAACACAGGGTTTGGGTGGTGGTGCTGTCCCCACTGTGGTAACTCCAAGCCCATATTGAAAGTAAAGGAAAAAAAAACTTAATAAAATTTTAATGGGCTGGGGAGACAGTTCTGTCAATTAAAGTGCATGCTGCACAAACATGAGGACTTTTAAAAATTTATTTATTATTATTAGTGTATGAGTGTATTGCTTTCATGTGTGTAAGTGCACTGGTGTCATGCAGTGCCTGTGGAAGTCAGAAGAAGTTGTTATGTAACCCTGGAGCTGGAGCAACATAGACGAACATGGCCTTGTTAGCCGCCATGTGTGTGATGGGAATCAAACCCAGGACCTCTGCAAGAGCAGAGGTCTTAACTGCTTATCCATCTCTCCAGTCCCAAGCATGAGGATCTTAATGTGATCCTCTTGTGACCACATTTTTTTAAAAAAGCAAAGCACAGCAGAATACACCTATAATTCCAGCACTGGGGAGTCAGAGACAGAAAGAGCCATGGGCTTGCTGGATAGTCACCTAGCCAAATCAGTGCATCTTCATGAGAGACCTGTCTCGAAAGAAGTAAGCAAATGAGGAGGGTGCCAGGTGTCAACTTCCACACACATGTGCACACACATACACAAACCCACACAAAAACAATTTGCCATGAGGTCTTGCAGTGTACTTAACTGTTCAAGTGCTTTCCTGACATATATAAAGCCTACATTCAATCCCCAGACACCTCTCCACATACAAAAAACAGACTCCAAAATATGTGAGCCAACTCTCAAAACAGAAATGTCTTAATGCAATCAAGAATGCCATTTTTTTCTTTATTGAGCTCAAATGGTACCAATCACGTATCTCTGAGGACACAGTGGGAAACACTCCCAGTGGAAAATGAATGAGTTGAGGCTATTTCATCCCTTTGGCCTGGTAAACGGCCTCAAGTTATTTGTTGAAAGTTATTAGCATTGGTCAAAGTGAAAGTGGAGTGAAGACGAGAAAGAAGAAAGGAAAAGTAGATGCAGATCAGAGATCACATTCTGTACTTCAGCCTTGGGGAGAACAGAGCCAAGTCTAAGCCAAAAAAGTTGTAAAAATGCCAACATTTGAGAAGCCAGATCCAGCTGTGATTGTCATCCACATTGTCATTGATGATGATTGCTGGCATTTTTTTTTTACCTTTGTGTGAGATGGTCCAGGTGAGAAATGAATGGAGGGATAGATGCACGTTCATGTATCCTGAAAGCTTGGGTTGTGTCATGAACTCAATTTGGGGCATGGGAGTGAAGGCATTAGGGAAACAGGGAAAATGCTATATTTGGTACCCATTTATATTTGGGGGAAAATATTTATTAATTTAAAGATGGTTCTTGTTTCCAAGGAAATAAAAAAATCTCCAGATTCTCTTGTTACTATGTCCCAGGTAACAATGAACCAGGTGCCAGGCTGGAGTGCTATGTCAGAAGGCATTGCCAGGTTCAGAAAATCTTAAAAGGCCACTGTTACTCAGGACATCACCCTGGTAATAAAACTCCCAATGACAAAGTGAGATGTCTTAGTGGAAAAGGACCCTAAGAGTCCAAAGTCCTGAGCTTCTAGTTTTCTTTCTAAATGGTCAATGCCATTGGTATCTCCCTCCTAATTCTTCCTTTTTCCTCAACTCTCCTTCCTTCGCCTTATGCCCTCTGATCATTTCCCGCCCAAGAAAAGTCTTTTAACAGCACAAATCAGTTTAATGGGAAAAGCCTCACTTTTGCAAGATGAAAACCATTCTGGAGCCGAATGTGTAGCAGTGACAACTGTGTGACAGTATCCTTGACTCCACCAAACTGCACACAGTTAAGAAGACAAATTTTATATGAGGCATGGGTCCTGCAAGGCCCCTCCACTGCTCTGAACTTGGTGGAAATAAAATACAAAATTTCCTCATGCCCTAGAAAAGTTTCTCTCTGTGTCTCTGTCTCTCTCTCTCTCCTCTCTCTCTCCTCTCTCTCTGTCTCTCTCCTCTCTCTCCTCTCTCCTCTTTCTCTCCTCTCTCTGTCTCTGTCTCTTCTTTCTCTCCTTTCTCTCTGTCTCTCTCCTCTCTCTTCTCTCTCCTCTCTCTCTTCTCTCTCTGTCTCTGTCTCTCTCCTCTCCTGTCTCTCTCCTGTCTCTCTCCTGTCTCTCTCCTGTCTCTCTCCTCTCTCCTGTCTCTCTCTCTCTCTCTCTCTCTCTCTCTCTCTCTCTCTCCTCTCTCCTCTCTCTCTTCCCCATGCTTCAGATTTGATGGCAATAACCCAGACTCCTCACCATGGTTCAGGTGTCTCTGAACCATATGCTGTCTCTGTATGTCTCGAGCTTCCTTTCAGGTCTTCCCTCTTCATTCACAGGCCTGTTGCCAATGACGGTTTCCCTCTCTGAAGCTCGGCCACCACTCTATAACTGTACTCAAAGGCCTTCACTGCTGTTATTTTTCTCTCCCTGGAACCTCCATTTCCCATGTCTGCATGTTTCTTTACCGTCATTTAGGTCTCAGATTAGAAGAGCTATGATCTGACCCAAGACAGCCCCACATCCGTCCTGTCTCTCTAATGTATCTGTGAACATAAGTGGGGAACTGCCAGTACAGCAAATAAAAGATATCACAGTTCACAGGATTCAAAGCCTGCCTCCAACATACACCAGCTTTGCAAACGTGGAGACATTCTTAACACTGTTGTACTTTGGTCTCATTTGTAAATGAGGGTGATAAGAGAGCCGACCTCAAAAGCTTTTCTAAAGTTTCAAAATTAGAGTCTGTATAAATCACCAAGTGAGCTTTGAACCATAGTAAGCACTCAATACCAAACAATTCTCCTCCTCCTCCTTCTCCTCTTCCTCCTCCTCCTTCTTCCTTCTCTTCCTCTTCCTCCTCCTTCCTCTTCTACCATCTTCTGCTGATTGTTTAGTTATTACTGCAATCACTGTCATTACAGCAACAGCACCACCACCTCCATCATCATCATCATCATCACCATCACCACTACCATCATCATCTGTAGATAGAGACTGAAAACAACATCACCAGATCCCAGGCTCCTGAGTTGACTATCCAGTGGCTTCCATAGCTTCTCTTGCAGACACAAGAGGAGAGATTATGGGCAGCTCAAACTCTCACACAGCTGTAAGGGTATCTGTGCTCAGCTCAGTACTCAGCCCCAGTCTGGGAGGGCATTCAACACTGGCTATGATTCTGCCAGTGGAGAGTAAAGGGGCATTTGGCGTCTAAGCTAAGATAGCATATCTTGCACCTGAAAGGATCCTTCCCTGCCGCCCCCCAAAAAGTCAGATGCCAGATTTTTGCACATGTAATGATAATAGCCTATAATAGGATATATTACATTTTTTAAAGACTAAAAGAGAAATGGGGAGCAATGTTCAAGGCAAATTTGCTCAGTGTTACTCCTGGGTTACATTTTCATATAATACTAAAGAGAGATTACATAATGGGCTAGAGAAACCTTGTTATAAAATGCATATTCTTTAAAAAAGATTGCCAGGGACTCGAACCCGTGACCCACGGCAAGGTGAGGATTGGGGATGAGTAAGCACGCCGTTCGCTAGCCCACGCCGCCCCCATTACCCAGGGACACTCAGACACAACGGGGAGTCTTAGTCAAGCAGGGACTCATTTATTGCAAGTGTTCCAAAGCTTATAAAGGCACTTGGCACTCCCCCCCCCCCAAAGTGTATCTTAAGGATGGTAACTCGCTGATCATGCACTTCCTGGCAGTGCAAAGTATTCTTCAGACTTTCAAAGCAAGCAAGGCTGCACCCCCAGTAACTTCCTTTCGGACCTATGCAAGGTGTTTCCTTTAGGTCCCCACAAAAGATCTTCATTTTAGAATATATTGTTCCTTGCAGAAAGACTCATTGTTTTTGCTACTAACACTGAGATGTTGGTGCATGCATCTCTAGTCTGTATGCATCTGATTATTACTATTCATAATCCGTTGCACTTGGATCTTTTTTAAAGGTTAAAAACTCATTCAATTTTATGTCTGACAGGACTTATACTGAGTTCAATATTGTATAAATGTATTAATTCAACTGTGAACCTAGAAACTTACAGCCACTTGTGAAAGAGATGTACTCTTGCTCTGGAGTGTGTTACTGAATATGTTAAAGCTGTAGTGAAATGCTTCTTCTAATCTTGCAGTTATTAAAAATTTTTTTAAAAATAGTGATTTTTTAAAAAATGCATATTCTGCCTTCATACACATATAGCTTCCAGTCGCAACAGTAATTGGAGGTTGGGAGCATTCTGTGAATTTGGCAAATACAGCAATTAAGTCTTCAGTGACCTGCTAAGGACTTGTTTCTGAAATCCTGCAATTAAGCCTGCAGCCCCTCAAATGCCCAGGCTTCACTGAGTATATACTCTTCACTCGATTTCTGCTGTAGATATGCAACTCTGAAATCACCATCTTCTTCCTTTATTTCCCTTTTAGATATTTTTAGTACAGAAAAGAGAAACGACCAGTAATTCAGAGGACAGAACCTGGTGGAGCACACAGGCCAGAATGGGAGTGTCTGGCATCAGCAATCCAGGGAGAATTTTAGAAGGAACAAGTACTGAGAGAGATTAGAGACTTAGAGGACCACAAGGTTACAAAGCATAAAGAAACTTACAAAAATTCAAAGCACTGCTTCATCCAGAAAAAAGGGAATGAAAAATGCAGTTATTTCGTGACCAAGAAGCTCTAAATGTGGCAATGACAGAGAAAAACCCAGACAGAGGTGAGAGCAGACAGAAAATTAAATACTGGTTTGCAACATAGCATCGTGTTCTTGTTTGGAGGGGAAAGCTATTTTTTTTAAAAAAATAGAAGTCTACTTGACACTATGGTTGGAAAATAGCATGCACTGGCTGCTTCATCCCCTTTGGGTGTACTCAGAGAAAAATTAGACAGTGCTCAGAAAGGAGCAGTGAGCACCAGAGGCTGACAACTAGGAAAACAAGAAGGAGCATGATGCATGTGAAAGTGAGCTGTGATGGATATTTGGGGTACTTGTAGCACGAGCTAGGAAGGTGTTCAAGTGACCCCTAGTCAAATGTAGCTAAGGAATTTGTTACTTGGGTTGAAACCAATGTTTCACATACCCCACCTGGTACAGAAAGGTACCAGCCCAAACAGATGTTATTCCCTTTGCCTGGGATGTTCTTCTCCTTAAAGTTGGTATGACTAGCTCGAAATTTATTCAGGTCTCAATTCGGGTATGACCTACTGAGACAGGACTTGACATCTTTAAATGACCAGACTTTCCTCTACATGTAGGAGTCTCCCTTACTTTATGGATTTCACAGAGCACCGTGAAATCTTTCTTATTGGATGTTTGCTTATTTAATGCCTGTCTCCTGCTATGACCATAAGATCGAAAGTCTTGTCTGTGTACTCACCATGGATTCCTGGTACTAATTAGTCCAATGACTTCTTACACTAAAAAAACAACCTATTAAAATATGCTGAGCACGTGAATGAACACAAAGTACTTACTTAGTTTAGAAAATAATCTAGGTGTTAATTTCACTTTTTTGGTGTGTTGTACTGTTGTATGTGTATATACGGTTATTTCCACTTTATTTCCTTTGAAGAAGCAGAACTGATGCTTAGAAAGGTAGAGAATGGTTTGAAAGTTTCACAGCTGTTACGGGGATCTCCATCCAGGTGTGTCGTTGTGGAGTCTGTTCTCTCAATCACTCTGCTCTTTGGCATCTCTAGTAGTACACCCACTACGAACACATACTGATTGACTAAATGAATGAGCACAGGAGTGATGAATGAACAGTGATTTGAATCCAGAACATCTGCCAGATTGAAACAAGAACCATGGTTTCGATTTTTAAGTTTTCCCTGCTCTGTTTAGGATAATTCCCAAGCTACAGCTTTCAGGGATCAACCAGATGCCAACCACCTACTGAGGGAATCCCCATGCTGACTACCTGTGCAATGCTGAAGAGAGTCTCCAGGCCCTGGGCCGCCAGGAAGGCCTCCCTGCCAGACCGGAGGGTGACGATGTGCCTGAGGCAGAGCAAGAGCTCCCGGCGGATCAGCAAGTAGGTGTTGGCCATGTCGTGTCTGTGCCAGTCCTGATGCAGCCTTAGCAAGCTGGAGACATAGCCTCTGTTCACTGCCCTGCGGCAGTTAGACTCTGAAGACAAAGGGAAAAGGCCATGTCAGTTAGAGCTCCCTGGGGCATACTGCCTGAGACTGTCCCAATGAGTCTCCCAAATGATATTATAAAGTGAATACCTATTTAGTTTACAAACTGTCAGATGTCACCTTAACAAAATGATCAACATCAACATCATCAGTAATGGGACATGAGATTGCAACAGCCCCCTTAGAAATGATGTACCGAGAAGGACTCATCATCACTTCTTTGGTATTCCTGCCCCAAACACACAACTTTAACCACAGCCTTAGGAAAGTCAGCCAACTCACTGGGAGGGACATACAACAAGATGTGTGACCTATACTCTTCATAAATGGCAAAATCATAAAAAGAAAAAAAAAGGACTTGAAATTGGACTAAAGGATATTAAGGAGACCCAAGAATAATACATAATTATAACTTAGATAATGGGCCAGAAAACGGTTTTCCTTTTGCTAGAAAAGGCATCAGTGAGGCGATGATTATAGTTTGAATAAGACCTGCAGATTAGCTAATAGTTTTGTATCAGTGTTTATGTAATATAGCTATTTCCTTCAAACAGAAAGATTTCTTTCCTTTCTGGAGGCGGGCTTACCAGATTCAGGAAGCTCATGAAGCTCACAAGATTCACAAGATTCATAAGACCCCTCCCCACAGTTCTATACTCCTTACTTGCTTTGAGAGAGGAGAGACTTTAGTAGAGCAGCACCTAAAATTACATAGGAAATTGCTGTGATAGTTTTCGTGAGTCATCACTCATGCTGCTGGGGTGGGCTCTTTACTGATGCAGCTGCCTGAGTGAGTCATTTTCCTGTAAGTAACCCTCCACCTACACATCTACAAAGTAACCCCAACGAACTCATTGTTTCACCAGGAAAGACCTGAGTATTATCTTTTCTTTGGTCTGTCATCAATCAGTACCCTACCTGTGATGAAATAGGTGTTCCTTTATGTCTCCGCAGGAATAGTCACTGAGTGCAACCAGCCTCCAAACAGTGACCAACAGGACCATATATAAGTCTAGAAGATGTGATTGAATGGCCTCTGCTATGGGTGGTAAGACATGCAACCAGGTCTGATATCTGAGGTGGAATATCTACAGGGATAAGTCCAATATAGCTACCATTCCTCATCTAGTATGGGAGGGTGTGGCTCCTTGATGTGGTGGCTGTTTTGTGGCCCCTGCTATGGAAGATAAAATATGCAACTGATGCTGAGGGATGAGTGTGCTTGGAGGGAATCACAGGGTGGCTGTCTTCCATCAGATGACATGAGGTAGTGATCTCCTTAGTCTACCATGGGTTTGAGGATGCCCCCATATGGCTGATGGGAAGACATTACAATCCATGAAAGTAGCATGCATGGGAAGGGATCACAGAAAGGTTATGGTGGCAGCTTGTGGCCCCTTCTTTGGGTGCTAAGTCATGTATCTGAAGCTGAACTGTCTGCCTAGAAAGAAGTTATCCATATAAGCGAGGAACTACAACAGTAAAGGGGATGCTGATGCTGACCTCAGCACTAGCAGGAAGAGTGAAAAACAGAATGAGATGGAAGTATTGACTTGCTATTTATTATAGCTGATGGGACATAGGAGAGAGAGAGAGAGTGCAACTTAGATCTGTGCTAAAGAGCTCTTCCTGGGATCCCAAAAGTTGGAATCCATGAGAAGAATCAGTGAGTACAGAGATAGAAGACATCTTTTAGGTCCAACCTGTAATACAGAGAAAGGGAAATTACTAGTTCTACATGCAGATGAGGGTTTAAAAGTAGAAGCCATGATACTCAGAGAAAAATTGAGAAGACTCTTCAACAAGCAATAAAAGAGTTCCTCGCAGTCATGTGAAGCTGAGAGACCTGGTGGTGGACAGAATCACTCTGAGTACTGTCCAAGTGGAGAAACTGAGTAATATAACCGCTCATTCCTCCTTGAAACAAAGGCTGCATAATCTGAGGGGATACAAGGGAAATAGGTGGACTGGTTTCTATAAGCCATTAGGGATACTTAATTATCATTCAATGAATATCATAGATGGGAAGACAAGAGAGGAAAGGTAAGAATTATTGAAAGAATTAGACAAGAGGTGGTATTTGATGCCCAGTTCAGTGGGCCAGGCAAGACTGTGTTCAACCAAGAGTTAAGAAAGAAGTCAAATCAGCAGGGATCTTAGGACTGGTATGGGACTTCAGCTGCTCTGCTGAGTCCTACAGTGGGACAAAATCTTCCCAAGATAAGAAAAGCTCAGACAGACTTGCAGGCTTCAGACTGGCATTTCGGTCATGTTTATGAGATATATGCTGTATACATTTCCCCCATTTCCAGAAAATATACTGAGAATGGGGATTGCTCCCCAAGTCTGGGTCCTTTTAGCAATCAAGTGTAGCTAATACAAAGGCAACAGGTGCTGGCCTGGAGCCTGCCAGACCCAGGGAGCCAGCTCTCAAATTGCCTTCTAAATGTCACCCAGTTCTAAATGTCCATAGATTACTGCTGTTGTCAAGCTTCAGTTGTGGAGGGAAATGTTTTTAAAAATATTTATTTTTATGTGTATGTGTGTATTGCCTGCATGTACATAAGTGCATCTGTGTCATATAATACCTGCGGAGATCAGAAGACACTGTCAGATCCCCCAGAACTAGAGTTATGGACAGTTGTTAGCTGCTATGTGGGTGCTGAGATTTGAACCCAGGTCTCCTGTAAGAACAGCCAATGTTCTTAACCACTGAGCCATCTCTCCAGCCCTGAAGGAGGGAAACTTTTGCAGCAGGCAGTGGTTACTGTGGAGATTCATAACCTGTAACTGCTGAGAATCAGTGACTGTTACTGAGGCACAGTATCCCAACACTCAGACAGAAATGGGTGAAGATAATCAGACATCTATACCAACCCCTCCAAAGCTCAGAGAACACCTCTTTCCAAGGCTCAGGAAGCTCACAAAACTTACGAGACTCACAAGACCTTCCCCCTCCACAAAGTTATAAAATATTAAGTAATTTATTTGGAGAGGACACTGTTCAGCAGAACAGCTGCCTGCAAGCTGTGTAGGGAGTCCCAGTAATGCAGCATTTGTGATTCATCACTCATTCAGGAATGGCATTTTTTGGTGACACAGTTGTCTGAGTTACGCATGTCTTTATAGGTAACCTGCCACTCATGTTCCTGTAAGGAATCCCCAAAAAACCTTCATTGGTTCACTAACAAACTTGAGAGGACTCAATTCTTTTTGTCTGTCAAGCCCTATATGAGATGAATAGACATGTGTTCTCAACTCCCCAGGAAAAGTTACACAACAGATTATTTTCAGATTTTGCTAAACTAATGTTATATAAGAAAATATCCTAGTTTTTTAGGAAATTCACAATTGGAGACCTGACATGTCAATAAGTTATTCTCGGAAAAACGGAAATGGATAAAAGGGAATATGCGGGTGGGGGGTGGAGAAGAAGGGACAGAGAGAAGAAAACAGGAAAGGAAGATTCCATCAGATTCCCATTCTTCTTCCCTGAATCTCTACAAGAAGAAAAAGACCAAGTGAGATATATCTGAAGGGCTGGTACATGTAGGAGATGGTACAGGTATTTTTCCTAGAGAAAAGAAGCCAGTTAATAGATAAGCAAGGCACAACAGATTTAATACAGTTGCTGCCACAGTATCCACTTTTAGTTCTGCCTTTAAGTTTGAAACCCCATCATACCTCACCACCCCTGCCTTAGTGACCCTTGGACCCCAAACAAGCACATCACCCAGCTGCCAGCTAAAATGAATTTTAATGGGCAGTGTCAGATCCATGGAAATAAGTTCCCTTCCCTACATGGTCCTTTAAAGGGACCAATCAAGAACCTCTGTGGGAAAGCCTTTAAATGGACCACGGCCCTTAGCAAAGATGTGGTCCCTCGTATCCTCTTTTCTCATCACTCATTGAGCTTCCTGCTGCTTCCAGACTTCAGTTTGGCACCTATGGGGTCATGCTGCATCCACCATGTCACCTTACTGACACACCAAACCAAACCTCACCCTTGGTCAGCACTCTCCTAAGAATGACTGTCTTAGTTTATGGTTCCTCTAGACAAATGAATTATAAGACCAAATCAAAAAGAAATGAAAACAGAACAGCTGAGCTCAGAACCGCTAAAGAATTCCTCACACGAAAACTATTCAATACTAAGATGGGCTGTGGGAGGAGAGTAGACTGTGCTGATAATTTGCAGACCAGGGCTGCAGGTCTACACAGTAGGGCTAACCTGTGGTGCCTCATTACATCTGATGCAAGTTTAGCAGACCTCTCAGGATTCCCATTTTCTTTTCTACACCGGTTTCTCTGTATCTGCTCTATTTTCCTGGTGGATATCTCCAGGGAGAATCCAGCATATGGAACCAATTACCATGATAAGGTGTAAATTTCCTTTGAAGAAACACAAGGTCAAGAACAATCCAAGATACCTTTTTCAACAGTTAATCTATGCTATTCTTTAGATTTACTTCCCCAGGCTACACAGTGGGTGGATGAGTATAGATACATCAAACCCATGCCAGAGGTCCTACAAACCAAATGAGGTATACTGTAGGGCTCTAGACAGCTGCTTCTCAGTCACAGATGTTCAAATCCTACAGCTCTTCTCTCAGAGCTGCATGGTTCCACTGTGCACACCATTCACTCTGGTTTATAAGACAAGATATGCTTCTGGCCAAGAGTATGTGAGGGAGAGCCCCAGAGCTGTAATCAGAGGAGCAGAATTACAGCTTAGAGTTATATTTTTCCACAAGACCATGTAAGTGCATGTGAGTGCAAAAAACAACATGGAAATTCAACGCTGTATTCCAGAGAGGTTTCTCATAATATTAATGGAACTTTGATTTTGCCTCTATATCACAGTTTTAAATTGCAGGGCTTTGCTCAATTCCCCTGAGATTTTTTTTGTTTGACCCATATGAGGAGTTGATTTTAGTTTGTTTTCTTCTTTTGCAACATTTCATACAGCATGACCCTGAACTGAGAATG